AAGCGATTAAAAAAGAAAAGAAAAAAAAAGTGAAGAATGCGTTTGCTTCGGGCAGGAAAGCGAGGGGGGGAGGGGAGGGAGATGGAAGGCGTGGGAGAGGGAAAATACTTACTGTATTTGTTAGAATTTATTTTTTTCTGTAAAGATTATTAAATATGAATATATTGTCTTTGTTTCTTTAGCAACCATGCAAAAAGTAAATAAATAAATATAAATAATTTAATAATACTAATAAAAATCCGAAAACTTCCGGCGGCTGCAATCAGGTTCGGCATGGAGGGGCTCAGTGGTCTACCGGGGCCAAGTCCCACTAGTACCAGCGTTGACCTACCTCAACGCCTGAATGTGGACGTTTTTGCGGAGATGTGCAGAATTGGTGTTGAGTTTCCTGAACTGCACGTCTCCACAAACACGTCCAGATTCAGGCGTTGAGGTAGCTCAACGCTGCTACCTGTGGGACTTGGCCCCCGGTAGGGGCTGGCACATTAAAAAATGGCACATTCAAAAATGGGCACATTCAAAAATGGCACATTCAAAAATGAGGGGCTGCAATCAGACGTACTGGTCCTTCAACGTGAGGGAGAATTGGGGAGGGAGGCTTGTCCTTGGGGACATTCGTGAAAATTGCAACGATGCACAGAGAGAGGAGGAGAAGAGTAGCAGGCCCCTGCGCATTTACTTCTTCTTTTTCTTTTTTTTTTAACCCTGCGCATTTACGAATGACACACATAAATCGAGAAATGGTCCAAATTCCAAAAAAAAACAAGGAGGAGGAAGAGGATTGGGGAAGAGGGGGAGGGAGGCGGGGGGGGAAGAGATCATGCGTCTGAAAAAATTTTGAGAGAGAGAAATGTCGCTAAGTTCATTGCCCACTGTTTCTGTGGTATCCCCCTGGCTGTGAAGTCTCACTGGGACCTGGGTCTTGGGTCCATCCTCACTGGGACCTGGGACCTGGTTCCATCCTCACTGGGACCTGGGACCTGGGACCTGCGACCTGGGTCCATCCTCACTAGGACCTGGGACCTGGGACCTGGGACCGGCGACCTGGGTCCATCCTCACTAGGACCTGGGACCCGGGGACCTGGGACGTGAGTCCATGGAACCTGGAATCCTTCTGAGGGCCTTTATTGCCCTGGGCTGCTGTCTCCTCCCCCTCCCCCCCTCCTCTTCCATTCGTATTCCGTCATCCCTTGGGCTCCAGTTCTCTCGCCAGTTCTTTTTTTTTTTTCGTTTGTTTTCT